ATACGGTGAATTGCGCATGTCCAGAATCGGACGAACTGGCAGGCCATCCTTTCATTTCAGTGGCTGAGCCCGACGCCAGGTGGCGATCGCACATCGCCCCCACGCCCTAGTGATAGGCGTTCGCTCCGTGCAAATAACAGCAATTATCACTCCATGTAACTGACCCCTGACCAATGCCCACAGCTTAACCCAATTTCCTGCTCTCCCCCAGCACAAAGGCCGATCTCGCCATGCAATGAAAACGATGAATTGTAATCAAGGTACACTTATTAACCATGTCCAATTGTACAATTTTCATTATCACTGCAAATGTACTGGCCTGAAGAAGAGTTGCTGACAGCACATGTTTGCCAAATCGACACTTCAACTTAAACATGGGAGTATTTGCAGAACGTCATTTTCACTGTGGTAATTAAAGATGGCACAGAACCGGCCACATCCTTGATCTCATCGAGGGTCCGTAAAATAGTGGGGGAGATCAACCAGGAATGTGATCGCGCGCAGAGGTCAGCGTGACTTAAATGCATTGGCTCTCAGAAGCCACACAGGTGTCGGAACAACAAACTTTGCGCGACCCAGACCGTTGGTTTAATCGAGGTCCACAGTGTGCTCCATGGTGCATGGACGGTGACTTGCGCGTGAATTAGTTTTAAGTGATAGTGGACTTGCACCGCCTCTACTGCATCTCTTTCTTTCTTCACCTACCTGTGCCCGATGTCAAGACTGAGCCGAGAAGACGGGAAGCCGAATCGATCGCAAGCGGTTGGAGCCATCATGTCATAAAGGCCGGTACCCGGGTCTGCACCTAAGCGTGACACCACGCCCTCCGCCATATTCGGCATTTGTCATGGGAACGCAACCCGAAAAAGGCCTGCCGTACCTTGATATGGCTCCCTGTTGGTCCAGCTCACCTATACCGTAACCCGTTTAGGGGAGAAAATTGTGTGACCATATCGTATGGTCTTAAGGCTAATAGAGTTAGCCCTAACAGCTACAATCTTCCAGGCCCGGTTCCTTAGGAAAAGAGAGAAGTCTTGGGAAGGCCAGATTGATAGGAACAATGTATTTTGTACATAAGGGTTGGAGAGGAAATTGCCACCCGGTCTGGTATGGCTTTCGATCGTGAGGGCCGTGTGAGAGCGCGGGGTCGTCATAGCGGCCGACGCGCTGCCTGCGTCTGCTCCCGGTCGGGGCAGAATCAGGTGTGTTAGTCAGCGCGGGAGTTGTCATAAGGACCCATAGTGAGCTTTGTGTGAGTCAGCCTCA